TTTCTACAAATTATTCAAATTGTAATTTTGTTGATGTAGAAAAACTTAAAATAAATTATAAAAAAATGACACAATTAAATTTAATTACTTACAAAATTAATATAGAAATTGATTTTTGAAAGTATGAACAGGATTATTTAAAAAATGTATTTAATTATAAATTGACGAAATCATTTGATAATAATAACATTAATTTATTTCGATATTGATATTAACAACATGGAATTTGACTTACTAAAGAATCCTAAGCATAAAAATTTGATTTTGATGCACCAAAACATAGCTGGATTATATAGTAAAATAGAGTTATTAGAATTAACCTTATGTGATCTGTTTGACAATGGCAAGGAGGTGGATATTCTGTGTTTTAGCGAAACCTTTCTAAAGCGAGGCAGTGAAAGTATTGTTAAACTAAACAATTACAAGCTAGGCTCCGCATTCTGTCGGGATGCACGTAGAGGAGGCACGTGTATTTTGTTAAAAAACAAATTAGAAGCGAAACCTTTAACCATTCCTTCTGATATAACAACTGTATTATATTTTGAATGCTGTGGAGTTAAATTATGCGCATATAATATTATTGTAATATGTATATATAGGATACCAGAGCAAAGTAAAAGCAGTATAGGTATTTTTCTACACAAACTACTTGTTTTTTTTTCTGGCAGAGAAATATAAAAGGAAAAAAATAATAATTTGCGGGGATTGGAATTTAGACACTTTGAAACAAACGCCGCATATAAAAGAACTTTTAAGTTTATTAGAATCTTATAATTTGAAATCTCATATTAAGTTACCGACTAGATTAAACGCTTGCATTGATCAAATTGCCAGCAATATAGACCAGTCCGTATCAGAATTGCTTTATTTAGGACTTTCGGATCACGAGACCGCACAAATTATAAAAATAAGAACTAATATATCTGTGTCGAAAAAGTATTTTTCAACTTGGTTTGAACATAAGAGAGACTATAGTCAAGAAAATATAATTAAGTTTTGCAAACACATAGCGGCTTTATCGTTTATAGAAGTTTTCGATTCAAAAGATGTAAGAGAAGCATTTAATCTTTTCTATGAATTATTTCGGTTGCTCTATGATTTATGTTTCCCAATAATAAGAGTTAAAGTGAATAATCGACCGCTTAAAACAAAATGGCTAACTAAAGGGTTGAAAAAATCAAGTAAAACTAAACGTAATTTTTACCTAAAATATAAAACTACTAGCATTAATAAAAAAGAAAATAAGGATATATATTACAGATATAATAAATGTTTTAAAACATGTATAAATAAAGCACACAAATTGACAAATTATAGATATATTTTACGTAATAAAAATAAATGTAAAGCTACTTGGAACATTATATCGGCGAATCAGATGCCTAAATCATATCAAGATGACATAGATAAATTAAATTTCAATAATAAGACATATACTGACCCCACTGACATTTCCAATTTATGTAATAATAATTTTATTAATACTACGAACATTCGGACATCTAATACGTATGACATTAATTTAAATTTTAATAAATTTTCAATTAATCCATATACTATTTACCTTAATCCAACCAATGAAAAGGAAATCTATAGAATTATTATGAACCTAAACAACAGTAATGCGACTGGCTACGATGACATTCATACGAAGGTCATAAAAGTATGTGCGAAATATATTTCTTTGCCCCTGTCGCATATTATAAACCTGAGTTTTGTTGATGGATTTTTTCCTGACGAACTAAAGCTGTCCGTAATTCGACCTATTTTTAAAAAAGGTGACAAGTCCGATCTTAATAACTACAGACCTATAACTAAAATACCTATTATCTCAATAATATTTGAAAAGGCCTTTCTTTGTAGAATGAATAATTTTTTGGATAAGCATGATATTTTAACGGGAGATCAACTTCACTTGCCGGTTTTAAATTAATTAAATATATTACTGAAAATCTTAATCGTAATATACCAGTAATGACAGTATTTCTTGACATGTCCCGAGCATTCGAATTTGTTGACCGCTCAATACTACTAAAAAAGATTGAATTATATGGCATTAGAGGTAAAGCATATGACTGGATTCATAGTTATTTAAAGGGCAGAATACAATGCACTGAAATACAGAAAGTCGTTAAGGAATCAAATAACAAAATTTATAAGAAGAATTTCAGATCGGAAATATTGTTAAATGAAAGGGGTGTGCCGCAGGGCAGCATTATTGGTCCATCATTTTTTATATTATTTATTAACGATTTTCCTAAAATGATAAGCAATGACTGCGTACTTTTTGCTGACGATATCACTTTAGCTGTAAAATGTGACAATAAAGAGATAGCTGAGACTCAAATTAATAAAGCATTGTCTGAGGCTAATACCTGGCTAGTCGCAAACCGACTTAATATCCACATGGAAAAAACTAAGATCATGCAATGTCATTCTTACCAAAGTAAACCTCTGTCTGTTAAACTATGTCATAATAAGGTTCTTATTGAAAGAGTTGAATCTTTTAAATTTCTTGGTACAATTGTTGATAAGAATTTAAACTGGAAATGTCATATCCATTCTGTCTGTTCGAAAATAGAAAAATTCGTTTTTGCCTTAAAAAGGTTGAGACAAACAGTATCGACAGAGGCTGCGCAAATGGCTTACCACGGATATGTTTCATCCGCCTTAAATTATGGACTGCTCTTATGGGGTAACTCAGTAGAATTCGATAGGGTTTTTAGGATGCAAAAAAAATGCATTAGAATGTTAGATGGTGCTTGGTTTCTTGAAAGCTGCAAACCCTTATTTAAAAAATTTGAAATACTTCCATTGCCCTGCATGTACATAAAGGAAGCATGTTTATTTGTCAGGGATCACAGCAAGTATTTCGAGAAGCGCGTAGAAATGAGCAATAGACACACGAGATGTCAATATAGATACTTATTATATCAGCCTCCTTGCCACGCATATATTTATAAAGTTAATGCTTATAACATGTTAATATGTATATATAATAAATTACCTGACAATATAAAATTAGAAACTGGGACAATGTTTAAAAGTAAGTTGACAAAATGGTTACAAAATAAATGTTATTATAGTATTAAGGAATATATGACAGATGAAAAAATTAACTGGCAGCAATATTTGCACACCTGCCTGCAGGTAGAATACATGTACTTACTTAATATGCATCAACTTGTGAACTGTATTTTGGCAAATAAATTAAATTATTATTATTATTATTATAACAAACACAACAATTTTTTGTCCAACATTGTAAGAATACAACGTCGTGTATGGTTTAATAACTAACTAACTAATAATTTTAGTGATTTATTGGGGGGTGTCTTTAATTATGTGGCCACCACTGTAATATTTGTTTGCATATAGAAATAATATCGGTTATGCGTATTGAGTACGCGTTATTAGTAGCAGCACGTACTCTTTTTTACATACAGCCTAGTATCATATAGACCAGCGTCGATAATTTTTGAGACCAAAAAAATTATAGTAGGATGAAACCCATCTGAAAAGGTAGAGAATATAACAAAAATGAAAGGAACAATAAATTATGGGCGATCTGAGGTCGGGAAGGGGGAGGGGGTGAGTTTATAAGGGTAAAAAATGGTTAATCTCGATTTCCGGTAAAACTGCAAGTCCTATGAAAAAATGTTAAATAGCAAAGTTGTTTATCACGAAATTTGGTGAAAACTTACCTTTGTATGTCCCAAACATACAGTAATTTTTTTGACTTAAAATATTCATTTTTCACCTTATTTTGACTTAATATCGAAAAAGCACCCTTATTTTCAATCGAAAATTCTCACGTCAAAATATCTGCTTTTTTAAAAAAGTTGGGGTGTTTATTGTTTGTTGAAATCTCTACTTTCTGATGGTATAAAAAAAATATCCACTACTATGGTAAATGTTCTCAGAAACTGCAAATTAATAATGAAAAAAACTCCAATCCGAAAAATTGATTTGAATCATTATGTATAATTTTGAACTATTTATTAAAATTTACACTTTAATTACTCGAAAAACATAAGATTTCATGTTATATTGATAAACAGAAAAATTACAAATCCATAAAACATGCAAAAATAGTTGTTGTAAGTAGGTATTAAAAATAGGATTTTCGGATTCGAGTTTTTTGATTATTAATTTGCATTTTCTGAGAACATTTACCATAGTAGTGTATATTTTTTTATACTATCAGAAAATAGAGATTTCAACAACCAAAAAACACCCCAACTTTTTTAAAAAAGCAGATATTAGGACGTGAGAATTTTCGATTGAAGATTAGGGTGCTTTTTGGATATTAAGTCAAAATAAGGTGAAAAAATGAATATTTTAAATCAAAAAAATTACTGTATGTTTGGGACATACAAAGGTAAGTTTTCACCAAATTTCGTGAAAAAATATTTTTTTTTGCAAAAAATAAAAATAAAAAACCAAAAACTCGGTTATTCGGTATTATAAATTTTGAGGTTATGTGAAAAAAGTGTCGATATAAAAGTTGTAGATCTTTTTATTACCTACAACTTTGCCATTTAACTTTTTTTCATAGGACTTGCAGTTTTACCGGAAATCCAGATTAACCATTTTTTACCCTTAAAAACTCACCCCCTCCCCCTTCCCGACCTCAGATCGCCCGTAATTTATTTTTCCTTTCATTTTTGTTATATTCTCTACCTTTTCTAATGGGTTTCATCCTACTATAATTTTTTTCACTTTTCACCATTTTTAAAATTATCGACCCTGGTCTAATAGTGTAATTTAATAAATTGAAAATAAAAGTATTAAAATGATTACGTCGTATTTTCAAAATTCGTATTATTTAGTGTAGCGTATTGACTCACCTGGTTGGGCAGCACCCGGTGCTCGCCCCTCGTGCCACACGGGCAGCACGAGGGGCGGCACGGGCGCGTCGGCCAGGACGCGGCCCACGCCCCACTTGAACCGGATGTGCTCCTTGTCCACGTTCACGCGCCCCTCGTATATTGACTCACCTGGTTGGGCAGCACCCGGTCGAGCCCCTCGTGCCACACGGGCAGCACGAGGGGCGGCACAGGCGCGTCGGCCAGGACGCGGCCCACGCCCCACTTGAACCGGATGTGCTCCTTGTCCACGTTCACGCGCCCCTCGGGGAAGATGTGCACCCACTCGCCCGCCGCCAGCCGCTCGATGCAGAAGTCTATCGCGGGCTGTGCGCAACCAAATAGATCATTATTCAATGGCGCAAGTGGTGAGTGTGTTCGGCTGCGATCGCTGAAGTGCAACATCTTTCGCAGTGATCGGTTATTGGATGGGAGACCAAAAATTGTGTTTCGGAAAGCACGTTAAACCGTCGGTCTGTCCCGGCTGCATCTGATGTCGTTGTCGTTAGCACACAACAATCCGCACTAGGCCCGCGTTGTGAGTCACGGTGCGGTCTCCCAATTTTACCCATAGAGAAGGCCTATGTCCCTAGCAGCGGGGACAGGCTGATGATAAAAATTAATATAATGGGCCACTTGCACTAAAATTCTTAAATCAAATTAAGACTTAAAATGTAAAACACATAATTTATAAAAGTTGAATTGAGATAGAATGAGAGTGTTGTCGTTGTCATGAGCCGGATATTGGCATCGTGGATTTAAGTCCAGAGTTCAGGCACGCGACCAACACTAAATATGAGTTTAGAAGTCCACGAAAGCAAATTTTTACAAAAGTTGCTAAAATCGCAGTTGCAATGTATTAGCTTTCATTGATGTAGGTGCCTATATTAATAGAATAGTCAATATCATTGTCGATGACCTCATTATCCATGCCAAATGTGACATCGCAGAGATGAGGTAAGTATTTTTGTAATGTCGCACCTGTGCCTATCAACTACCGCAACTTATGCGAGTATACCGCACTCCTGCCCCCGTAGCATGAGCATGAGCACCAGACCCATTGCATGAACACCACAATTTATATTTTATCACATTTTTATAGTGTCCAACTGTCAAACTCCATAATAATTTGACAATTGAGCGTGATAAAAATGCGTTATATATCATATGCAGGGTCGGCCGGTGTAGGTGCGCGCGAAGTAATAATAATATTATATAAATAATTGAAAGATTGAGCCCTAACCCACCATGTCCGCCCACTGCCCATTTTGGGTGCTAACGACTGCAGATGCAGTCGGTACCGACGGCTTACCGTGCCTTCGGCAGTACGGAGGAGTTCGACATAACCTGGGGTTGTGTCAATATCTGATGTCGCGTTGTATAGGTAGCAGCAAACTATTTGAGCAAAACCACAGACAAATAAACTTCCGCATTAGACTTTTGTTGTACGTAAAATTGATATTGCGCAGGCTTCCTTGTCTATGTTGGTTGCTCAACTAGTTTGCCGGAATGTATACCTGGTAGACTCCGGCGCCGCGCACGACGGGCACGCATTTGCCGAGCGCGAAGAAGTAGGAGTGCAGCGCGTTGGTGAAGCAGATGTCGTGCGCCGCCAGCGACCAGCGCATGCGCGACCCGCGCGCCAGCGACACCCAGTCCAGCACCCCTGCGTACGGTGCAAACCAACCGCGCCTTTTAATACGTATACACTCTATTGGTATTACATGGTTAAAACGGCCTCACGCAAACTTGGAGTCCTGAACGGCGTTTTTTACGTCCGAACAACTGTGCTTGTTGTATAAGACTAAGACGCAGGTGCGGTCGGCGTGGAATATAGCTCGCACCTCTGGGATGGCTCCGCCAAGTACTTGCTCGATGCTCGATACAGCGGCGCGCGATCCTTATTATAGACGATGAGGAGGTGACTAAACACCTCGAGCCTCATTGACTACGCCTCGAGGTGGCGTCATTAAGCGCGTTCTATCGTCTGTACCACGGCGAGTATTCGGAAGAGCTATTCTCTCTTATTCCAACTTCCCCTTCCCTTCAGAGAACCACGCGCGCTGGCCTACGTTGCCAACGACTAACTGTGGTCACTATTCCAACTGTTTGATGACTGATTTCTTTGTCGCACTATCCGTAAGTGGAATGCTCTGCCCGCTCGTGTTCCCTCCCTCTAATAACCTGGGATCCTTTAAAAGATGCGTGAAGAAGCAACATGCAGGCCGTCAGGGCGAGGATGGCTGGTGTGGCAGGTAGAACTGCTGTATCAGCTATCATCGCGTCTGGACTTCACCGTCACTTAACATCAGATGGGGTGGAGTCATTCGTCGGACCTATCTATATAAAAAAATGCAAGTTTGTGTTAATTTTGTAAGTTAACACCTAGGAAAGAGTAAGATATGTAATTTTGTTTTGCAGTGCCCCTTTGGGGCTTATTTTTTGGCTCCATGTACTATTATTAAGACTTTTATGTACCACATGATGCAATAAACGATATCTATTTATCTTTAGTGCGAAGCAAACTATATGGCGGTTGTGAACTTAGCAGCAAGCGGAAGTTGCAGTTCAGTGAAATGAAATCCCGCGCGCACATAGAACAACAACATTCCGATTACTGCGCCGCGACTTACGCTAACTTCACAGCAATCAATAATCGCGGTCATCAACTTAGCCCTTAAATATTACTATCATATCGATGAAAAGATCTCTTAAAGAAGATATAACGAGTTGGACCAAACAGGAGTTGGTATCTTATGACTCGTAGAAGATGAGACTAATGCGAATATTTATTCTAGGATTAGCATAGGAGCTCGATAGCGCAGGTGGCTAGCGCGTCCGGCTGCGATCGTTGAAGTTAAGCAACTTTCGCAGTGGTCGGTCATTGGATGGGTGACCAAAAATTTAATATCTCGAACTCCTCCGTGCTTCGAAAGGCACGTTAAGCTTTTGGTTCCGGCAGCATTTGCAGTCGTTAGCACCCACCAATCCGCACTGGGCCCGCGTGCTGGGTCATGACCCAATCTCCCTATTCCATCCATAGGGTAGGCCTGTGCCCCAGCAGTAGGGACATTAAAAGGCTGATAATGATGATGATAATTATTCTAGCATTGCCTGTGTTTGCCACACCACCTGTTCAAAGAGTATTGGACCCATCCACACTTCCTTCAGATTAAATCATAATATGTACCTATCATATCTTTCTTTGATTGTATTAATATTTATTTCATTATCTATTTCAATCAACCTATCAATATGTATGATTTATATTTATTTATACCAAGGTCTCCTAAAGTATTTAAGGTTCCTCAGTAGACCCTTAACAATGTGAATTTAATTAATTAAACTATTAATAAATGATGACTTTTAACAATTTTAAGTTTCCATTATTTTTGTCTAATTTTATGCTACTGCAGAGAAAGTGACGGCATCATCTTTAATGTTTGACGACCTCCGTGGCCGATTGGTTTGTACGCCGGGTTTAATGGTGTTGCCGACTCGAGAGGTCCCGGGTTCGAATCCCGGTGGGGTCAGATGTTTGTGTGATCAATACTAGCATTTGTACTCTAGTCATGGATATTTAATACGTGTTCCTTTATAAATATACTTATACAGGGTTAATTTTAAAACACCAACACCTCTTAGGGGGTGATTCTACCCATCAACAAGAACAACTTTTATTATGGGACCAACTCTGAAATCGCGAAAATTTTAGTGAAAATTACATCGTCCAAGTAAACAATAAACAAAAATGCTCATTAAATAAAAGCTACTGGATCAAACAAAATATGTTTTTTATTGAACCAAACGGCGCAAGTATGTCCAATTGAACAAAAGAAGAATCACTCAAATTGGACCAGAAATCTTGAAGTAATCGATGTACATATAAACAAAGTATCGTGAAAATTACATCGTCCAAGAAATTCGTCGAAATCCACCTTCGGATGCTGAATTGGTTCCAATGAGATCGACTCGGAAGTGCACTCTTTCGAATAAAAAAAAGAATTTTGGAAATCGGTCCACAATTGACGGAGAAATCGGTGAACATATATATATACGATCTGACGACCTCCGTGGCCGAGTGGTTTGTACGCCGGGTTTCATGGCGTCACCGACTCGAGAGGTCCCGGGTTCGAATCCCGGTAGGGGCAGATGTTTGTGTGATGAACACGAGCATTTGTATTCCAGTCATGGATGTTTAATATGTATTTCTATATAATTATACTTATATATGTAAAGTATATGTATTCTATCCGTTACCCTAGTATCCCATATCACAAGCCTTATAGTGCTTACTTTGGGGCTAGGCTAATTGGTGTGTTTTTTTTTTTTTTTTTTTTTTTATAGTTAGGTCCGACAAATGACTCCACCCCACCTGATGTTAAGTGAAGGTGAAGTCCAGACGCGAAGATAGCTGATACAGCAGTTCTACCTGCCACACCAGCCATCCTCACCCTGCCGGCCTGCATGCTGCTTCTTCACGCCTCTTTTAAAGGATCCCAGGTTGTAAGAGGGAGGGAACACGTGAGCGGGCAGAGCATTCCATTTACGGATAGTGCGACAAAGAAATGAGTCACCAAATTTCTTTGTACGCGTTGGAATTGTGGCCACAGTAAAACGGTGACAACGTAGGCCAGCGCGCGTGGTCCTCTGAAGGAAAGGGGAAGGTGGGATAAGAGAGAATAACTCCTCAGAACACTCGCCGTGGTACAAACGATAGAACGCGCTTAGTGACGCCACGTCACGGCGTAATTGAAGAGGCTCAAGGTGTTTAGTCACCTCCTCATCGCCTATGATGCGGATCGCGCGCCGCTGTAACCTATCCAAAGCATCGAGCAAGTACTTGGCGGAGCCATCCCAGAGGTGCGAGCAATATTCCACGCAGGACCGCACTTGCGTTTTGTACAACAAGCACAGTTGATCGGGCGTGAAAAAACGCCGCACCTTGTTCAGGACCCCGAGTTTGCGTGAAGCTGTTTTGATCACGGTTTCGATGTAGTCCTTTGGATTTAGGTCTGAGCGAACTTCCATACCGAGCATGGAAATGTTGCTCTGCAGCGGTAGTGTTGTGCCCTGAAGAGATGGAAGGGGAAGGAATGGCGATGTTTTTGCCGTGAAAGCGCAAGCCTGAGTTTTCTTGGCATTGAACCCAACCAAGTTCCTGGTACCCCATTCGGAAATGTGTTCCAAAGCCTGATTGAGTTCAATGACAAGATTTTCCCGTTTCTCCCTGGTTACTGCATGCCCAGCCGCTGCTTGTCCGAGATACCCCGCATGCACTGTACTATCGTCTGCATAGCAATGAATATTCCCAAGAGGAATCAGGTCATTGATATGCAGCAGAAAGAGAGTGGGGGATAGGACGGAGCCGTGGGGAACGCCGGCATTCACTGACATGAACCGCGAACTGCTACCATCCGTAAGGACACGAATTCTACGCTCATGCAGGAAGTCAGCTACCCAAGAACAGAACTGGGCTGGCAGACCGTATGCCGGAAGCTTGGAGAGAAGGCTTTTGTGCCAGACCCTGTCGAACGCCTTGGCAATGTCAAGGCTGATAGCCAACGACTCGCCACGCTTGTCGATAGCCTCACCCCAGATATGAGTTAAGTACGCTAGAAGATCACCCGTCGATCGTTTCGGTCTAAATCCATATTGACGATCATTAATCAGGGAGTGATCCTCTAGGTAGCGGGTCAGATGGTTATTAAGGACCTTTTCTAGAACTTTACATAAAACTGAGGTGACTGCTATTGGCCGATAGTTTGCCGGGTCCGAGCGATCCCCTTTTTTGGGTACCGGTTGCACGTTAGCATCTCTCCAAGTCTCCGGCACACGCCCCAAAGAATACGAGCATTGGTACAAGCTTGTTGGAAATATTTATTTATTTATATATATACAGTCGAACACAGAACCTCCTCCTTTTTTGAAGTCGGTTAAAAAATGTAGTCTGTTAATGCGGTCAATAACAAATATATGTGTATATTATTCAACAACATATTTATCGACGTGAATGTTGGTTGCGCACAAAATGATATGTATGATAACGTGATTGTGCAAAAAAAAGGCATTATAATGCATGCGCGTGTCAATCGCACGTACCAATAACCATCCGGAGTACTTTACCACACCACACCATACCTTATTTTTTTTTTGTTAAGAGGGAAGGCAAGTATTATTTTTTCCATACATCATTCTCGACTGATTCCTCCTTGATTTATCACTTAAGAAATTGTTTTCATATACAAAACTAGCGGCCCGCCCTAGCTTCGCTTCGGTGTAGAGCTGAAGTGTACACTACAGTTTTTGTTCTCAGGCTTGTATTATACACAATGACATTCATCTATGATTCTTCTTATACCTGCATGCGTAAGTCTCAGCCCGATCGGTTTAAAATTGACAAAGTTTCATACAAACTTTCATTCCCTATTTTATCCCCTTGGGGGTAGAATTGATCAAAATCCTTTCTTAGCGGAACGTCATAACATCTACCTGCATGCCAAATTTCAGCCTGATCCGTCCAGTGGTTTGGGCTGTGCGTGGATAGATCACTATGTCAATCAGTCACTTTTGAGTTTTATATATATATAGATATAATTTTACTCATTCTATGCTTCTACGCCTTCCTTTTTTCGATAACTAGCATTTCAAAGCAAGTAGAAGGCC